TTGCCACCGCTGCCCCATGAATTTATATTAGTGCTGCTTCGTGTAAGGGCCGTCGCTTTTTAAGTCTAAGCAGTCGCTGGAAGTACCAGTGAACCCATGACGACCAATGTTGGAATCAGTTTGTTAGGGAACACTCGAAACGCGCACAGCCTACCCGGCTTTTAGGGGCTACTACAAGATTCTCGCTTCATAGACGTAGCAAACACATTTCAACACAACAGGAACGGTATGATTGCTTGAAATGTTAGCAGTCTGCAAAGGGATATAAATATGTGTGTGGCTAACATCTGGGGTTGTGTCTGAACTGGGCAACCTAACATGTGCTGGGCATCGAAACCGGGGCAACTAACCAGAGCGTACGGAAAAGGCAAATTACCGCTATAAAGCGAAAAATGGTAGTAGTTTTGCCGAATGAACCCTATTCCCCACGGAGGCAACTCGGGGGCAAAGACGGAAAGGGAAGTTGGTGGAGCAGCGAAAAGTTGCAATTCGGAGAACAGCGCTATATGGCAGTGAATAAGGACAGGATACTGCCGAAAGCAATGGGCGCAAAAAGATACACTAAATACAAAGGAAGTCAAATCTGCTAGAGTATTGCCATTTGTGAAAGAGTTAACAATTTGTCGGTTATTTTTGTGTGGGCAGAAGTACAGCGGAAATGGTGATCAAGGTGCACCAAACTTTTGCCTGTTAATTATGCTCGTCACTCTAGGTGAAGGCCAGAGATAGAAATAGCATATACCTGCAATAAATAGCTTATAGCTTTTATAGAGGATTCGGGGGATTAGGTTGGGGAACTCAGTAGAATGAGCAAAAAGGATATAACAGCAAACCTCGAGAGGCTTGATATGACCCTTTACAGAAAATTGCGATTATAGTCACGCAGGTTAATTTCTAATAAATGCGTTTAGATTTCTAAAAAAGAAACAATACGCTACCAAAGTCTAGTTTTTGTAATATTTGCTTCAGTGCTTCACTATGTTTATAATAAGCAGTGTATTATCTAATTAGATTCGAATAATAGGCCGCGATTTTGCGATAGGAACACACCCCTTTGACGGAAACCAATGGGTAAGTACTGAGCAAAGCTAGGATAACAAAGCGGTATTTACTTTAGGTAAATACCTTTTTTACCTATTTATAAGAATAGGCCAAAGTGTAGTATCTGTTCCTATTGGCTCGATATGAAAGTAGCACTACAAGCATAAGCATAAGCAAAAGCGGCCATGGAGCGGCTTGAAGACTGGGGCCGGATAACTGCAACAGTCCGTGCGTAGTTCGGACAGTGACGTTCATTTTGAATTATGCCTAAACTTCAGTCTTTATTATAGCCTTGTATTAACACACGAAAATACCAAGGAAACTTTATATAAACCTGAATCTAAATGCATCGTTAATGAAAAGTAGACTACCACCACTTTCAAACTACTTGCGTTCTCGTCGCCCTCTAACCCAGCCAGTTAGAAATAGCTCGTAGGTATCACGATTTTTACGTATGAGCTACGACGCGACCGAGCGTTTGACTTTCGGTAAAGGCTGCATGATGAAAATCAATGAAAGGAAAGCGGTATTAGGTGTGGGGGACGGAAATTTTGTGCTGGAACTAGAGAGAGATAGGGAATCAGTCTGCGTTTAGGGACTTTCCGCAAAGAAACAAAGCAAGCTGGGAGTTTTGCACAGTTGTTATCTTACAGGCCAGAAAAATCTACGAGGCACTGTCAGGTGAATTAACGTAGAAATGCTAGACTATCCAAACGCCGAGAAAATCGCTCGTCGATAATTTGTTTACCAAACTTAGGGATACGTAAGGTGGTCTAAGTTCGAACACGGAATCGAGGCATTCTATTTCCTTTCAATTCTTTAGTAAAGTAATAGAGAACTTGAACTTTGAAGCGCTAGTTTTTAGGAAACCAAATAGAATTCGAAAAAATACGGCGCGTGATTATTGTTATGATGAAATCGAATCATTAAAAAACCAGCGCCATCTTAAAAAAACTATCGGCCTGGAAAAAGTTACGGTAATCTAGATTGCTTGAGAGAACAAAGGAAGCTATGAGCTAATAACCGGTTGTCTAAAGATTACGGCTGGATTCTTATGTTCAATAGTCATTTATTCGCGGGGTATTCATAATGTTGTTTTATCTTATCATTATCATATATAACTTGAAAAGATGTAAATAGATTTTACTGAGTTACCTAAGCCAGAACTGCCGTACTTACAAGGTTAGCAGTAACAAAAACTGATATTTCGAAAATGTAATATTGACAGATACTGCGATGCCATCAGTAGACATAACATTTTATAGGACAGATCGCATTCGATTTTTTTCGTTTACTTTTCAATAGCGGACGACACGATGAAATTATGCTTATACCGTTTTATATCCCGTCCCGGGCCCTGTATTTCTTCAGAGTTCCGATCATTCATAGATCGGTGACGGAGTCTTGATGTGGTGCTGTGCTAGAATATGCTGGCATTTCCACCATTCTATTCGCCCATTACCTTTCAACGTTAACTACTGCCAGACAGGTAACCATTTAGACGGCCCTCTCACTATTAACTAAAAATGCTTCACTCTGGATTTCAGCAACACTGCACTTAAGCGTACCCTGAAAAATCCTAAGGGCCACATGATCGCTGGAGGTACCGCCGTCAGCCTGTTAAGGAGCGAGCGTTCCTATTGCAAACGTGTTCTAAACGACTTCTGTGAAGAATCTTATATACGTGTATATTACAACACAGTTAATATTTGTGTATGTTTAGATAAATATGAGCACAGAGGCATCAACACAGTTGTCTGTATCAAGTGGAAATACTGCGCATACAGAATTGTACTAGTCGAACTCGCGAAATTTGTCAATCTTTGACTTTTTGTAACCATAGTGAAAATTAGGTAGTACATAAAGTTGAACTAACTAATCCCTAGTTGATCATTACCTCAAAAGAGAAGGATATTTCTTTAAAAATAGGTCGTTGTCATCTCATCCTTACCATCCCAGATATTCTATGTGACGCCAGCGCAAAACGCAAACATTTTCGCATTCAGCTAACCTTTACTACTTCAACGAACACAAATCGTAAGCATCGTCTATCAAATAATGAAATAGAAAAAACTAAATTGCAGTCGTGTATTAGCTTCAGGTCGGATCGTTTATGTACAGTGAGGAACTGAATCGTTAAAACCTAAACTAGGCCGTGCTTTACAAATAACGAGCAATTAATGACAACATCTGTTATTAACATTTGTGTTTAAATATCAAAGGACTATGAAAGGTCTTATGCTTAATGTAGATGGTATGATTTAGGGGCTTCAAGCGGCACAATCGCTATTAGAAGTTTGCCACCGAAAGAAGACAACGATAAATATCAAACAGAATAAACCGAAGCAGAAATGTCTTTTCTGTTATAGCTATCCCGTTATGCTGAAGCGGCGCGAAGTTGGATGCGTCGCCGAGTTCAATGATGAATAAAATAACGCCTACCGGAAATCAAAACTACATAATTCGATGTAATTCATGAGATAAAAGAATTGTGACCTTTTTTTCTACTTATAACATCCGTATAATTTTTTTGCCTACTTAAATGCATATTGCAAGTGCTACCGCTGGAATTGGTGCTAGATAATGCTTTAGACGGCTGGCTTCCGACATTAAACGCATGGCTCGACGCTCAGTCTCGCCCTTGGGCCGCCTCCCGTAAGCATTTTTCCATTATCTTGTAGCAGTTTACCTGTTTCAACTAAGTGGGATTAAGTTCCTTGTTTTCTTCAACAACTCCATGTCAGATACGAGATCGGATCTAAAATCTCAGTCATTCTGTCACTAACGATAGCAAATGAAATAGCAGAGATAATTTCAATGTCAAATCGCACCGTCTGACGGTGGTACTAAGCGTGTCTTTTAAATTATTTAATTTAGTTTATAAAAATGAGGGTATTTCCGTAGCTTCACCTGCCACTCGAGCCGCTCCGCTTCTTTGCTTCAATGGTTGAAATGCGGATAAAAAAATCTTTTGAAATTGTGCTAGATTCAAGGATAAACTCTGCTATTTTTCGCGAAACGCCAATGTTAAGGACAACCTGAAAACCTGTCTGAAAGGACTGAAATTATCTCCACTGCTGTCTCCGCCGTTCTCCTTTAATTACAAACCATTGGACTATTTAAGTAATATAAGGCTATTATATACTTGCTTAATTGTATAATCATGACTGCAGAGTTGAACAGCACAACAGAGCTTGACGTTTACAAAGCAACTTTATCAACATTTTGTTCATTATAGAGCTTCATAATGTGGACGTTATATATACATATTGTTTCCATTGATGGCCGTCCTCGTATCCAGCACAATAGGTTCATAACAAACCAAACAATGGCTCTGTACCTGAAAACTAAGATGAAGCCTGAAAATCCAATCTGTTCTCTACGCAGGAAAGCGAGATCGTAATAGATCCGGAAATCAATGCGTTTTAACGCTGACAATGGAGCAGGGATCCGATTTAGGCTGATCAGTCGATCAGTCTGGATAAGCAAAACGTCAAAGGGAAACATTTTAAAGAATGCAAAAAAAATGAAATGCGAAAAGAACCCATAAAGAAATAGGCGGCTTACATGAAAAGGGAAATAAACTTTTCAGGTCTTGAATAAACTAACGGAGCGAGTTTGATAGTGCTACACGATTTGCCTAGGTCTTGGCATAACATCTGTTTTCTTTATGAGCTAAAATTTTCTCAAAATTATAACCCTAGTTATTCGTACAAATGAGTATACGTCGTTTGAATAGTTAGATTTTGTAGATGTTCTTCGAAAAATGATGTACCGAAAAACAAATCTGTAAACAGTTCGCCTAGGGTCAGTGGGTACCTGTTTCTATAAGTCCAGCAGCTTGTTAAAGGCCTCTTAAGCCTGTAGGCTAAGAAGGAGAAGAAGCAAGACTGTGTAAGCCCGGCATCATTCGTTTGATCACTATATACATTACCTGATAGCATATATTTCGCGTGATGGATTACATCTAGCTCACGATTGCGGTTGCGAATCGTTAACCCCGGTACCAGCTTCTCGTTAGTTGCATTTCAACATATTTTGTAGTGGTTCTAGGTAGAAACATTTCCGTTCCTCTAGAAGCGCCTCCTGTGTAAGAATAACAACAATCATAAATTAACTCATTGGACTAGTTCGCACCCCCTAGCGAACAGCGGATAGCCATCTAAATATTCTCTAGCATTGGTTTTTACCAAGGAAACAATCGACTTTTTGGTGGGGTCCTAGCGCTTAACCATATAAAGCGTGTGCGACCAACCGTAATTTCATAGAGCGTAGCCGCGTTGTTTGATCGGGCCACGCAATTATATGTTAGCCATGCATGGAAGCACCCGAAGCCATCGTTCAGTTCACGATGAAAAATTCCGGACGTTGGATGGGTCTGCTGTTCGTTGCCGCAACATCTCATCATTCCAGAGGGTTATATGAGGACAGCAATATGTATTAAATCCCTTAGTCATATGGCTGATATAAGCAAATATCATCATATTGCACTATTGTTTCTGTTGAATAGTAATAGAGTAAGTAATATATCGAAACTGTTCTCGCACCTCGGATGGCTGCTAGACGAGGAGCACTTGCGTTCACCGATTTCGTATGGCAGTAGCCATTGTGAGTCGAGTGCTCTTGCTTGAGCCATTATCTTTCAGTCGTTAATGGCTAAACCTGATCACGTTCCGAATCGAGCATCCGGGTCAGCGGGCTCAGTACGGTTTAAGATGTGTTGAAGTTCTTGAGTACTCCCGCCAGACTTACTTATATTTCGGAATAAGACAGAGATGGCCTATCGAGTGCACAGGGCACCTCGTAAGTTATTGAAGATTCCGACATGATTTTTGAACTTTAAACTTATCTCTTTTTCGAGGGTCACATCCACGTGTTTAAACAGAACGTTGTCCACAGGTTGCAATCTTTGTATAACGCAGTTGCATCCCTTTCATTAGCAAAGCACCTCGTCGTTAATATTATGACTTCAGGAAAAGAAATAATATTTTTTGCTATAGGGTTTTACTGTGATTTGTGTGTTATTTTGTGTCTTAGTTAAATGGCATACTGAGGTGTTCATGAGACATACCAGATAATCAAGAACAATTTCCGCAAGGAAAATCTGCTAAGTAAGTTTTCTTACAAAAACGAAGGTTTTCGCATGGGCATGTACCCACCTTATGTACTCATTAGTCTAAAGGGAGCTGCCTCATCTGGCTTCTGAGCGGCCCCTAATTAATGGATCTTCTTTTGTGCATCTTCTACTAGTCATTGATGCTTTTTATGTGTAGTTTCAATAAGGAATTGCCAAATTAGATATCTTATGTTTTTTTTAAAGAAGGTCACTTAACATCACGTAAAAAATATACGCAAGGTGGAGTATTGAAATTCGGACAAACTTTATCAAACTGTTTGTCACAGCGGGTATCCATTTATTCGCTATTTTTATGTCTAAGCTCTTTTTAAAACAAAACCCCAAACTTATTATGGCGGAAAAGAACGCGTCGCTTTTGCAACTTTAGCGAAATTGGGTTAAGATGCAGGTTTCTCACGCAGCACGACAAGGGAAATTATCTCAGCTTTGCCCAAATTGTAAAAATTATTAGCAGCTCCTATGTGACATCCTATGAACCCCAGGAAGATTTCTATAAAAAAAAAAAAACAACCTGGATATCTTTAATAGAGTTTATATTTAAAGAGTTCGCAACTTTATCCAGATGACTCAAAAACCGATTCTTGACACATTTAGATCTTCTATATAAAAATTAGCGGCCTTTTATAGGGTAAAATATCAATTGCCGATAAAGGCGTCCAGATAAGTTTCAAGGTTTAGTCTTTTTACAACCTTTCGTCCTTTTTTTTCACCTTCCTGAGTTTATGGCCGTGTTAAGCCCTTGCACTTATGTAACGTTTTGCCCTATCCAGAATTTAATTCAGCTGGAATTTTTTGTATGCAGCTTATTTGATACTTCTACGAGTTAACGTCTGCCAATGTAGCTTAACACACGACTACTTAGAAAAAATTATTTGTGGATTTAGGCAAGAGCATTTTTAAAATGACTAATTAGTGGTTCAGGTCCCGTATTGAAGCTTTAATTACGGCCGATAATGGTTATATCGAATAAACATGGCTGTAGGAAAAACACTGAGTATATGGCCTGAGAAATAGCTCTAAGAGAGAAAAAGTCCAGCTTCCTATGCCCTATTGCGTGTGTGTATATATACATATACTTAATTATAGATCGATGTTAACTGTCTACCGAAGTTTTTCTACTTGTGAAGTGATTCTTAGATACTGGAATACGATAACCTACATTTTACACTTAGAAAAAGAGACCGTAATTTTAATTTATTGTTTTAAAAACAATGGAATTAAAGGCAACATCAAATGACTTGATGCTTTAATCATAATACAACTTTGTTCGTCTTTCCTGACGCCCCCATGTCGTTCTGCCACTTCCTTACGTGATGTTGGTAATTACAACCTTTTGAGGAGAACTACAATGGACGCGTCTAGGATCACATATATTCGTATTGTCGGTGAAGATAAGAAACTAGCAACAAGCAATTGCCCGGTAGACAGCAGAGAACGGGGGAGAATTAAATAACATGCGGTGAAGCGGCGCAGAAAATCGGCCAGAGTCTCAAAGTCCCACACTGCATTGTACCGCCCGTTTTGCTAGTTGTTAAAGTAACTTCGTCCCCTACCAGTGACTGTCGCCGACATTTGGTGACGTCTCGACGGGATGACAAATGAAACACGCGAAAAGCTCCCGCAAATGCGCCCACACTGAGAGTCTTTCACGTGAACTGGAATGACGAAGTTAACACAACGGGAATATCCTCAATGGTGCCCGCATTACAAATATATGCAACGGTTACATAGCCGTTATCAGTAACAAAATCAACGGCTGAAACGGAGTTATAACGGGCCGGTTTACAATTGCGCGCAGGGTGAATTTCCTGTCCACCCAGTAAGATGTACAGTTCTGCCTTTCCCCAACCGAATTGTCTCTGCCTTTATATATAACAACAGAGGACTAAAAGCGACAACAACAGCCGTATAGCAGTGACATTTTGTTTATAGCGGTGACAGCAACAGATAACTCATCCTTGTTGTATCATCCTCTGGCGTGGTTGGCGATATGAAATGTTCAAGAATTCGCGCCGTTCGCTCCGCCTAACTTCGCAACTGACGGACGCGCGACGTTCAAACAAATTGCAGACTACTACTGTATATAGCGCTGTGTATGGCAATGCAGATAGCGTTTGTTGCCGACAGCTGCAGGTGATGACAGCTACGGTCATGGGCTGTGGTTCACATACTGAGCTATGTGTGACTATGGGTGTGTGCGTGTATTTGATAAATCGATTTAAATACTGATTATGCTGATTGAGTGTATTTCGGTCAAGTCAAGCGGGTACTTAAGATGTGAAATATTACGTTCTGTACTACAGTACCGTAGTACAGTAAACAAACAGACATGAAAATTGCCGAGGACCCTCATAATACTCTCTTGCAATGGTGGTTGCTGATGTGGCCGTGACGCTTATGCTGTCTGTCTCTTACTAACAAAATGTTTACGTTCAATACTACTGTCATAGGTAAGCACCACTTGAAACGAGCTTTATGTGGCTTTACGCCCAGCTTCGAACTTCGGCCACCCCCATCAAGTGTTTGTAGGTTTCGCAGACAGGCAAACATGCCACTGCACTATTTCGAAAACCTCCCTAAGGCTTATCAGTAGACCATCCTCGCGACTGCAGTTCTGAAGCAGTTGAGCAACCTTAGCTTACTTAACTAGGCAAGTTAAAAATGAGGGTGTAACCTACTGGCCGATTCAGCAAACGGGTAGCCGGCTTCAACCAGGTCTCGCCGCTCTATTCTGGAACTACTTACGTTACATTGGCAGCACGTAATCTGAGTTGCTACTGCAAAATATGACAATGGCAGTGTTATCTTGTTGAAGTTGGTGTCTAATAAATAAACTTGGCCACAACAATTTCTACACAGTGTTGGCTTGTAGTGGTTTCATAAGTATTTTAACTTGGATCTTTCCCGTAGTTTCGGTACTAAAGAACAAGCGCATGAGACGCTGAATGAGGTGAATCGGAAAAGAGACGACAAGAAACTGGTAATACATCACATAGCAGCTGCTTAATACGCTGATTTATTCGAACGTACCAGGCAACGCTTTTGAATTTGTTTATCCAGTTATATATCCCGTCAGTCCGGTCTGACAGCTTAGGGATTCATTGGAACTGATCGAATATGACATTTATATCGGCTCAACAATTAAAGTCACGTACTTTTAAGTGTCTGTATTTTGTAACATGTCCCATTGTAAAAATCGTAGCCAGATCGCATTCAGCGGACTAAGGGACAATTTAAGGCTCTATTTGTAACGTGAGATAGTCAGCAGAGCAATGCAGATCCTAATGCATATAAAGAACACAAGGTTACGCCTAGCTCTATCTTTGAATACAGCGACAAGGATATATGCATTTATTAGAGATAAGTTGGTTAGCGCTCGAAGTTATTTAGTTAATTTTTTCCGTCGCTCTATATATGTACACATAGCACAAATTAGTCGTTCACCGAAGGTCACCTTTTGCTTGTTAAAAACGTACATTCGGATGGAACCAAAACAATCCTTCACCACTCGAAACACGTTCTAATAAAAAAATATGACCCCGCGCACCGTCTGCGTGCCTAAGCTGTTTTGCCTCGTATAATAGATATCTTGAGTCATGAGGTGCGCGTAACTTAACTTGGATTCGATTGGGATATTTTGGATAAATGGCTGTTAAATCTATCACCATTTATTTTTCGTAGCCATAAGTTGTGAATCAGACAAAAAATGTTGACAAGAGATATCATCCGGATTGTCTCGTTGAGCGCTGCAAGGGCACAACATGGTCTAATAAATTCTCCTCAGAAAGCCATCAACTGCTAACAGCTTCGAAAAAATATTACGAGATGCGCTACCCCAAATCCTTATTATAAGAATATATAGCTTCTGTTAATTAGCAATTAACCGTGATTTTCTATGTAATCAGGAATAACCTCTAATACAACGGTTAAATAATCGCACAAAAAAAGCCTAACAGAACCCACCGTATCGCTGCAATTCGTATTTGAACGTAAAGTTTGTCTCGAAGAAAATTAAAATTTCTTTGTGACTGAGCACTGTTTACTCGTTTATGGCTTTACTTAATGCAATTTAATTAATTGTATAAGAAAAACAAATCCTTCGAAAATAGTGCAATTCGACAAGATGTACTTATTGACCCTCCGCCACTCGGCATGCCTTCTAGAAAATGATTTGATCTTGTATCAATAGCCAATCAGCCCATAAGCATCAGCAGCAAAAAAACTGTGCTGAGTGTTTATATATGAGTTTACAGACACACCAGGAAAACCTGCCCAAAAGAAGTTCAGCTTTACATAAATATCGCCAATTGCCCCTATTCCCTGCAGGTTGAAACATTTGTCATTTGCTTTGAGCAGTGACTTTTCGTTATCGATAGAACTATGTCCATTAAGTATATAGACTAGACCAATATAAATTTCCGGCTTATAAAAAGTGCTTCATGAATAAACTTACCGATTTGTCACTCAATAAAACGCTCCGTTGCTCTGTAATTTTTGCAAAAATAAATACCGATGACAAGCGTCTACATATGTTCAATTCTGTTGCATCGGTACGATCTATTTGTATACGTCTTCGGGTGTGCACTTTGATAGTATCGATAAATATCGGGATGAAATAGGCTCATACGTTCACCTAAACTCATTAGGTTTTTATGTAATATCTACAGGTTAAGCATCATACCGCTTCCCTTTAATGTTAGTTAGACAACGCTCTACAAAAATGAAAGGTTAGTTGAATACATTCCTACCACAGCATCCGCGCATTGCCCTAAAATATATAGTTGGGTCAATGCCTTTGCCGCTCTAATGAGCGTCTCTTCAAAGGGCCCTATATCATTCAAGGCTATCTTTCACAAAGCATCGTGCCAATAGCAGAGAGAAAAGTATGGGAATACTCTGGAGCTGGCCAAACTTGTGGAATCCACTGGCTTACTAAGGATGGCAACAAAATAATCGTGAAAACATCGTCTGCTAGCTCTTCATTTCTGTAAAAGAAATAGAGATGGTTTTGTTTAGGAAGATAGCTTCTCAACAACTTTCCATAATGTCTACTTAATAGAGTTCAACTCCTACACGCGCTAACATATAATCGATATTAGTTAGTATCGATTATGAGTTAATCGATATATAAGTTATTATTACCTTCTGCATAATATCGATAAATCGAATTTTGTATTAAAAAAATGTTCGTATACCCCTGAAGTTTTCAGTGGTGCTAAGAGTTATTTATATATCACAATACAAACACGTGTTTATCGTATAGATTTTTGTAGTAGACAAGTTTCGTGGTAGCTTTCTTCCCCAAACTATGCTTCAGCGGCCGTTCAGTACGCAGAATACCCTATTTATTTTTAGCGGCTTCGGGCGGGTTCAGACCCCCATTTACCCCTCTCTATTCCGCGCATCCGCGACAGATTTTTACTCCCCAGGATTCGCTTATTCGTCATTTCAATTATTCGAACTTCTCTTTCCGATGCTTTTTTTAAAGTAGAATAAATAAATAAGGCGGCTGTCTGTACGTTCACTAGTCTACAGACGACCACGGACGCCAGGTCTATTAATGCGTGTAATTGAATCAAAGATGTACCGGTTATGACGCAGACTTCTCAAAAGCGCGCTTCTCTACGTCGTCAACGGGGCTAGGTTGTATAAACTCTGAATAAACTGAAATTAGAGAAGTAAATTACGACCTGTTAACAATGAGTCCCTAAACGATTTCATATTTGTTTAAGAGGCTCGTATATGTTAGATTTCAGGCAGCTTACGAAGATCTTTTCGTGACTACACTGCGCACTATTTCCTCAAATATGGCCATCTCTTCAAAGGTCTCTCATTTGTATGATCTGGGTAGGCGCAGGAGTATTAGCTCGAAGAACATGTCAAGTTTCAGGGACAGGCCTTGTAGCCTGCTACGGCTCGGACCGAATACGGTGCAACGAAAATTAGAAGTCGTAAGTAACCAAATGCTCGCGATTGTCCACATAATATTTACAATTGAGGATGCTTACTTCGTCGACATAGTAATGGACATCTGTTCAGCTATATAAACACGATTTTACATGTACGAATAAACCAGTATAATTTTCTATTTCAGTTTGTTAAATCACGCGTGTTATGCAAGGCACACTTATGGCTGGAACAACAAGCATATGAGATACTACTTTTTGCCCTACCAGAAAAAAGGCGCAAAATGTCCATACAGCTTGGGTCGATTGGACAGCAAGAAATACAGTAACAGGCAATACTGCTTGTTGCACCGATAATGTTTTCGTTACGATCTACGATAGGCAAGCCCTCAAAGTGTTTACCCCCTATAAACTAGATTATTATGAAAAAAAAAAAATAGAAATTGTAGATTTCCGCTTTCTACCGATTCATGTGGTCCGGCTTGGCTCCTTATTTAGGTTATTTATAACGTTAGCAAAGGTCTGACGTTTCTCTCGGTCTATCCTAGTCATTATCCCCGATGTCTGCTTGTAGAGTGTTTCCTTACATGTAATGAAAAACGCTGAAATGTAGGTGTTTCAGCATTACAGACGGGGCACATGGCCGTAAAAGCTGCGCTTTGCTAGCTAGCGGATACGCCAACAGGAACGGGGAATCTGTCACGCCGTTATGGGCATTAGACCACCCTGTACGTAGACTATCGCCACAGAGCCCAGCAAATAAGCCCGTCTGAGAAAGCCACAAAGATAAGGGCTAAAAGGAGCCCCCCATCCATAAGAACGACATCATTCGTTCGGTAGCGTCAACATTGCTCCGGGGCTTCTCACTCTTCAAACTGATGTTGAAGGAAAGTTAGCTTAGTTTAATGCCATGACGAGCCAACAGGAAGCAGTGCGAAGATGTGATAGCCCATTTGTAACGAAGAATAGAATCGTTGCTATGCCAATGGTCAAGAAAATTATCTGCAGAAAACCACTGATATATTAAAAGAAATACGTGTGTAATGAAGAAAGCACACTACATAGTGATTACTATTAACAAGATTCTGTTTTGCTTAAAAACCCTGCTAGCTCTATCAGTGGCTCGGCAGATTTCAAAATTATACATTTCTAGCGTAGTTTGACTGTAGCAGAAGCAAAAGTCTGCAGAAAAAATAAATCTTTCTTCATATATGTTTTGGTCCAAGAGTGTTAGAATCTTTCAGTAGCTCGGTAAAGGTTAGGGGAATGAACAAAAAATATCGTTGCAAAGAATCGTATTTTCCTGTGTCCCATCCATTTCGTATGCATTCATTTTACAGTACCCTATGCATATGTCTTCGTATGTACTAATCACTTAGCAATCACAAAATTGCTTAGAAACACTGCTAGTAAAGCCCCAGAGAATGGTTAAATTAATAGAACCACAATATAAATAACGGTACATTTTTTTACATAGAACATATTCGACAAGCTCGACAAGGAAATTTTTGTACCATATTCTAACGTTTTGTAGAATTTTGTAATCAATTTTGTTGTTCTGATGATTGCGACCGATGCTACATCGACAAGAAACGCTGAAACGGCGCGTATAAGCCACCAATTCTATATTGTATCTATGTGCAAAGGCTAAACACTGACCAATTCAATCTTTCTACACATATTTGTAGTACGCGATATAAACGAATTACATCACTCGAGACGTCACTTAATCCGCCAGACAGAGCACATAACCACTGCTCTGTTTTTGTCGAATCAGTTTTGGCCATCAAGTTAGCCCTAGATAAAGAAATAAAGATACCTTGCATAGATCTAACGTAAATATATATTTTTATTACAAAACACAATGGTCAAATGTTCTAGATAGACCGTGAAACACACTAGCGGGAGTTATCGAACGGATCTTTATATTTATTCAACTAAACACCTATTTGTTTTCTGCACTCGGACAGAATAAGGAATGCAAATGCAGGCCGAATCCGTTATTTGTTCATTGTCGTTCTCTCGCTCCCTTTACGCGTCCTAGGAAACATAAAAGGGCTTACTTGGAGTAGCATAGTAAAATTGTTCAACTGAGGCGCATACAGCGGGTACAAAGAATGCCTTAGTTAAGATTTTACTTTGAACTATCATTTGGGAAATTTTACGGCATCCAAGTTCTCCCTCTGTTGTTTCGTTCTTGTTCTTTGTGCCTGTTTACCAGGAAGAATGAATAACACCTCTTCGGGAGTAAATAAACGCGAGTTCCGTAAAAAAAGGTCGAATGTGTGATGTTTTAAGAACTATTGGTTTTCAGACGATGCTCACTACGACGAAGTACGCAAGTTGAAAACCTACATTGGACACAAGAACGGTTATTACTGATCAAGTCTTCCGATGTTTACAAAGTAGCCCCAAGCAGACATAATCTACTACGGTTATATATCCTCGTTGTACAATTTTAGTGGTTTTCGTAACGTACCAAAGCTGAACAGAATTTTCATATTTATTATAAACAAGCTACGTATGTGCATATAAAAAATTTTACGTGAAAGGAAAATGAATAAAGGTTTGAAAAATTTAATTATCACTATTATTTGTGCGAGCGCTTGCGCCGTGTATTTAGCAAATTCGAGATCCCTAAAAGATTTTGTTGACGATGCCCCCATGTGAGAGCATGCGATACACTTTTTTTTTTTGTACTCGCAAGAAACTATACTCAAAAGATGCTATTTTCTACTATCGCCAGAACCGTCAATCTTCTTAAGCAACTTAATTTTCAAATGAACGTTCGGCTAATTTGTGGTTAACTAGTAGTTTTGATAATTCACTATCTTGTTTGTACAATTAAGGAAAACAGCGTTTTTGATCTTCATTATGTTGCTTTGCAGCAAAGGTGCATTGTTTCGCTCGATGAGAAAAGTAAGGTACACATACTTCGTTAAATCTAGCCCCTTGATGCTCAGGGAATTCAAATGATCAAACACTGTAGATACAGAATTAGCTACCTAAAATTTAGCTTATTATTGAGAAAACTGTAAACATGACGTTTTAGTGACTCAGTCAACAAAAAATACCATCCTTTACAACTTCAACCAGTAGCAAAGGCAAATTCAATTAGTTTTTTTTTTAGCTAAAATAGATATCGACGGTTATTCATCTTCAGCTGGCCACTCAAAAAAGAAAGAACAACAAATTCGACCACGTAACGATAGATTTTCAGATGAAACCCCACGTCTGAAACTGCTACAGTGTCTAAAAATACAGTTTCTTGTTGCGTTGCGTTTAATAAACGGTTTTAGAAAGTAGAGCGGATCAGGGTGTCGATAACGTCTGCCGATGCAACGTTTTCTACTGAACATGGGATTCGGTGCCCAAGTGCGTCTCGTCGCCCGCACTGTTTTCGTAAGGAATTGGTTTGGGTAGCGTTGCTGGATTCCTTTCCAAACTCAGATGCCTACAGCCGGACCCACATTGCACACTATGAACAAGCCTCGTGATTGGGCTGGAGTTCCTGTCGCTAGATCATTGCATCCGAACAGATTCATGACGAAAACTCCGTCCAGTGGCAGGTCGTAATAGCCTGTAGGTCGTAATGCAGGAACGGTAGCTATTGATAAATTAAAATGCCGTCTGCACATTAACCGTAACGCACACACGTAATAGAATTGAATTGTATTATCAAGCGTAGCAAATGGAAGCTACCTTTAATCTCGATCACATTCTACTAAGATAAATAAGTAAAATCTTTTGATCAATATTTTCATAAACTTGGTTTCAGTAAGGCGCTATGGCTATTCAGCCGTTCGGCACATTGAAGATCAAATCAAAAGTGATATTTTCTACAGCCAAAGATATCTTCGCTGTTTTTGTATGAATTTGTTTCAGGAGCGCCAGATTGAGATGAATGTCATGTCTCACTCTATGATGAATGGTCTAAATTTCAATTACAACTGGGACAGTATGTGTAATTTTTTTGCGTGCCTCCGATCGGAAGAAAACCAGGGATTGCTCCCTCAGGTCTTGTCCGCGAGGCACACTTTTTAAACATAAAAAATAATATATATATATACATACATAAAAACGTTATCCTCTGCTTAGTAGCATAGTGATGACATGCCGTGTTAACTGAGACTGCGTAACCGATTTCTACACTTTCTTAGAAAATGCTGCGTCATATGCTTTTGCCAGCGAGAAGGTCTGTTGTTCTGATCATTTGGAGAATCCGACATCGTTTAGAGCCCTTCGGCACATTCTAAAATAGTTAGACAGGATTGAAAATTTAGACGGATCAGAAAACATAGGGTAGTGCCTGTCCCTCCTTACGTTGTTGAGGTGCCTATTATAGTTAGTTTCGATTATGTCGGTTAGCGATATCAGTGCCATCCATACATGACAAACAGAAGTAGATAAAGAAGCTATACAGGCGTAGGTATATGGTGCAACGTTACCATCCAGCGTAATTAGCAAAACCTTTCAAAAATCATCCGTAACTTGCTATCTGTTATTAACTCAACGAGTATATATATAGATATATATATTACGTTTCGATGAAATTCTTCTTCTAAAAAAGGCACTTCTTAAAGTAAGACGAGAAATTTCTTAATGTGTCATACTCTATACATTATAAACAATTAAATCGATAAGCTAGATAGGAAAGTGCCCATAAGTACCTTCACTGCACTTCCTTTATAATCGAAGATTTACTGTGCACCCATTAATTGTGCACGATTTGTTTTATATTTTTACATCATAATCAACGATTTTTTTTACCTTATCAGACAGGCGATAACTTCAATCATACACAAATTTTCTGTACTCAGACATTTATAGTATTGTATTATTATGCGTATTTCTAAATCGTGTAGACTTTTCTCTTACAAATCCTCACACCTTAGTAACGACATGGTCGAAAATAGGTTAATTTACCTTAGCGTTTGTGCCGTGTGCGTGCGTCCAGCCAAATTGGAACTGGAAAGCTTCCTGTTTTAGATTCCCGACGCTACCTTGTGGCCATCATGTCTCCATTAATGTCGTAACCATCATACACGCAAGCAAACGTCCCAAGTAGTGCCTATCTCTGAATTCAATTGAACGGTGACAGAGAGGCAATATTTCTTTAGAATGATTCGTTGCATTCTTGACTTTTCGCCATTTTTATACATCTTTTAGCATTTTTTTTAAAAATCTAATTCTATTGTAGATGTACTGGTTTGCCTTGTAAAAATCCTTTGCGGATTCTTGACACACCGCATAGGGACAGGAAGCAGGGAAGGATTGGCTCGAAGACATAGGACAACAAGTGATCATAGTCTAAAGGCTAGCATTTTCCCCTAGCATTCTCTATGATTCACGTTCCATTTGAAAATGGCTTTCAAACAATCCCAGTAACGTAATATGAACACATCTCGTAGAATGAGAGACATAGTGTAAAAAAAAAGTTACCGTATGTATATGAAACATATTTGTAAATATGTGTCATCCGTAACCGAAACTCACGAAGCTCCCATAGTTGCTTTCAACTCGTAAGAAGCCTCTCCTTTCTTTATATGCCACATTATGGAGTATTTGGTAACAAGTCAATAGGTGACGTGGACGTTTAACCTGACATCAAAAGTGCGTAACTTTCCAAAATTCATCTCGTAGTAAAACTATTACTGACTGCTTTGAGAAAGACTGGGCTTTACCCGAGATATTCTCTCATTAATTCTCCAGAAAAGTAATGAACATGTTTCGTAGGCTAAATTATGGACGACTGCAATGATATGCAATCTACTCTGATAGATGATGACACGCACTGCAGAGCCGAGGTTAAGTTGATTCCGCTTAGAAATGATTTAATATGTTTTTCAATGACAGGCCCGTTTTTATAAAAAAAAAAAAAAAAATGTATTTCAGCGTTGGTAGAAGAAAATAATAAATATATTATTTGACAAAATATTTATACTAAAGAAAGTTGAACTTTTCCGAAAACTTAGCTGATATAGGAACATCATCAGTTACGATACGACAATACGCAAGCTTCATTTTGCACATTACCTTAAATGCAGCAAAAAGGTAGCAGAAAAGGCTGGCAGGCCGAAGTATGAGTCAGGCCGTCGACTAGGCGCACGAAAAAGGGCACTGATAATCTACCAAGGAGTGAGTCAACCTGTGGCACGACATGGCATGGACTGCTGGTTTCTAACTCAGTTAGGTGCTGGGTTCATATTTTTTACGTAAAATACATTCTTTCTGCTGGGTCTTTCTTTTTGACAGTTGTTTTTTTGGTTGTTTATTCAAGCTGCACGTATTCAAAACTACTACGATTTCCGCTTGTACGTATTGTCGCAGCGTAGCACATCATCGTATTCGTATTATCTTTATGGGTATTGTTATTAGTATTATAGGACTGACGACTATATATGTTCTCTATAATCGTCATTCCGTGCATAATTTCAATGTTCGTTATCTAGCACTACGTTTATCTGTTTATTACTATTCGACGACCCTATTCGTATGTGTACTTGTTTCTCACGCAGCAACTTGTCTTGTTCATTGTTTCGGTTCCTTTCCGGACGAAACATTCGCTTCGGCCGCACTCGTTCCCTGTCCTGTGTCTTGCGCGCATCCTAAGGCTGTGATTTGCTCTTCATCCTGCTTCTAATAATTGTACGTCTGCATCGGCACACGCCAATTTCCAGCCACCGAATGGCGGCGCCGACCAGTACGCCGGAAGCAAAAAGAACCGACTGAGCAATATCGTAATGCTTGGATTTGGTTTAAAATCGTAACGCCAGCTCATTTGAAGCCATCACTAACGCCCATCACCGGAAGTGCTCCACCGTCAGAGGAACTCGGCTCGACCGATTTCGAGCCGGAGCAACAGCAGCGGCAAATGAGGGGCCAAGTATTTTCTGACACCGGTTCGGAGCGTCTACCACGACCGGAGCAAATGGCCGCAGTGAGTGAGTGAGCTTTACTTGCTGGCTTGTTTCGTTGGCGTATTACGGCCGCTTCAATACGAACGATAGCGGCTTCTAATAATAGCAGTTCATCAGACCCAATTCCACTCATTGCAAACCAGGAAGAGCAACGCTGTTTACCAAAACAATACAAACGGTAACGCTGACAACAACAGCAGCAGCAGCAGCAGCAGCAGCAGATGCAAAACCAACAACATAGCTCCGACCCCCCTAACATTAAGCTGAGTCTGCACTCTCGCTACTTTTTGCCTCGGGGCACTGCATTCAACGTTTAAGCACTATCCACAGCGTAAAAATAGCTATAGATTTATTACTATCATTGTTGTTAAAATGCCTTCTAAGTGGAGTGTTGCAACCGCGGAAATTCAAATATGTCAAAAATTATGGTAAGTATTGACTATAACTGGTATCGTTGGTAAATTGTGAAATGAATTAGTTCGTAATTTAGCTAAAGTAACGATGATAATATACAATAGTGCCTGAACGTGTTTACTATGTTCGGCCATTGACAAGTGATTTTGATCGCTTGTCGACCTAACGAACTTAGAGCATTTACATGGTACGGGCGAGCTCTGAATTCAGATTCGCAAGGAGGCACGCGGGTGAAAAGGTTGACATTTTTATTTGTAGTTAGCGACAGTTCAAGGACATAGGCTTATATAATAGTAAGGAACATATGGTAAGTTCAGCGAGGTGTCAGAATTACTCTGAATATACACGACCATGCAGAAAAACTCACGTAATTGCAGTAAACTTTCGGCTAAAAGAATATAGAAATTAAACAGCAGCAGGTGCTGAGAAATTCACTGGAAAGGAACATCGGTTTTTGTAAGCTTTTGTCCTTGCTTGCCGTTACCTGATTTAGGTGGCCACCCGGTCCGTCTCGTCTCAAGTGGGGGCAAGAGGAGAGGGATAACATATACGCTACTTGCAAAACGGCAAGGAACGCCCATTCGTTTCAATGTACAACGGGCGGACGGACGCAGCGTGTGGGAGAGAATAAGGTGAATCTTTCACCTCTCGGTGGAGGGGGACGAGTAATCGAAGAACTCAATCTTCGACTACTATTTTTACATTAAGGGCCGTGTCCAGCGCTGTTAAACGGGAGAAGAGCATGCTGGCGCTGAAAGTTAGGGACGTTACACATCGCTATACATTTCACTAATGGTAGTACTAGTATAATGTATCTCCTTTAGGAATACAACTCCCTACTTTCTCTGTTCGTTTCTGCACTGCCGTTATTACATTATGTTTACATAGGTAAAACATTTTAAAAAAAAAACATTTTTTTAAAAAAAAAAACTGTAAAAACATTTTTTACACGTCGCACGCCACGTGTTAACGTAGACGTAGTTTCGGTGGGAGTATAATATAACTTTGTTATTTTAGTTTAAGTGCGACTAGACATACGTATTGATTCGGAGCCGGGAAAAAATCGCAGATGTTTCACAGAAATACATGAATCACAATTCTTCTTGTACACTTCATTATTATTATTACTAATGTGTAATGATAATGTATATGAAGAAAAGTCTTAAGAAACAATTAGCTTTCTCCGGTAGCAGTTTCGAAATCCTTGTTACTGGTTCCGTCTGTATCGCGAATTATTTCCGTAACGCCCTCTGTCTTCTGGATCTCGATGGGTGGGTTTACCGTTTCGTGGCCTACCACGTCGCAGCGTCGTGAGTCTACCAAACTATCGACGAAATGAAAGGCGGTTCCGTGCGACGAGCTCTTAAGAAGTTGACGTTCCTATTCAAGTAACCGACAGATCTTGCTATAGCTGCTGCGTAACCAATCGCTCTGCATTTCCATTGCTTGTGGCGAGAGCGAGAGAGCGAGAGAGAGAGAGAGAGAGGTCCTTCATAAAACGAAGGAATCGCGTATCAGGCGACATCCTCTACTTGATAGATTCTACAACAAGGTATTATAGAGGAACACCTCTCGCACCTACTTCGACGTTGAATAATTGCTATTTTGAAAAATACTACAGGTACATTGTCCAAAATAACTCTAATAATATTAAAATCTTAAAGTGTCCTGCCAAGGAAATGAACACGGAGTAATAACGGTAACTAAATTACGGTGGTGACAGTTCCATTAAGTATACCTATGCAAACATATGATAGAGAACAACGAGTTCATTTGCAGTCTCCTACGTATGACCAAACATTGTTGTAATAGTAGCGACAAAAGTCGAGTGATTACGAAATAAGTTAGTGGTTAAGTGTAAGTATAAAATTCAGTTACTGATTTGGATTATATCATTTGAATCTTAAACATAAAAATGCTCTGTTTTGACAATACAAAGCTTTTACAAAATAAGCTAGTACAAAATCCTAGCAGGTAACGGTGATAAATGCTTTTGCACAAAGGGCATTTTATAGTTGATGAAATAGTTAGATTTTACGATAAGTTGTGCATATGTACTTCCACAGAATCTTCATGTAAAAATCAGTCGCAGTTACAAACAACACGGTTTCAACAATAAGTATATCTCATATTGTTGGTCATTCTTGTTTGTCCAGCATAACACCGTTTAGATCGTTAGTTGATATGCCGCCTTTGTCAGTTACTCGGTAAAATTTTAAAGCTTTTTCTATGTATACTGCCTCGTTTTAGTAAAGTATTAATTCACTACTAAGTTGGCTAGAGCTTTTTTTTTTTAGTAACTTAGAATTATCCTAATTGTAAATTGTATCTGTAAAGGTGAATGGTTCACAAGCTGAATGTAGGCAAGGTAAAGTCTAAGTTGAAAGACACGTGCTCCAATCTTTGCCGACCACAAATACGAAACATAAATTGCACATGTCATTCTACGTAAAAACTAAGAAACACAGCTGTTCCGTAAGGATCCTAAATACATTATGATACTGGACAAATCAAGTATGAAAGGTCTAAGCGTAAAAATAAAAAAAACTTAATTCGTTTTTACCATTGGTGTAAACAGCTGGGGAGTTCTGATGTTCTCGTATCCAGTGCAGAGAGGTATCTAGCCAGCAAAAACTTCCTGATGAAACACGTGCCTTGCCGATGTAGCGACGAGGCCCGATGCCATACTAGTTTTTCGGATAAAAAAGACAAAGCTGCTCCATTAGTGAATCGTATTGCCCCAATTGCAAGTGGCACAAAGTGGGGTGCTAACGATCATCGGTAGAACAATTGGTGTAGCCTTCTCTCAGGATTATAACATAAATCAAGTAACCACAGATGTGGAAGGAAGCGCAAGTATTTAAAAGCAAAACTTATTTCCACTACTATGGACTGAATAAACGAATCACAGAGCCACATACATATTAGCCTGTCTGAAGCTATCTAGCCGGTCGAAAAATTTTGATAATTTTTTAATTGCGCGCCACTAGCTGACGAAGTTTGGTAAACATATACAATATATATATATAATTAATAATATAATAATAACAAGACTATAGGCTGGTTGAGTTCTATTAGAAAATATTAAGTTTATAAGTAAATATATCGATTACTACTAAAAATCAACGCTAAGTTGAAGGTGCTGATGGAATTTATTGAAAATAGGTAACAGTGCTGAGTAATAAGGCCTTCAATAGAGCATTAATGCATTAGGGGGATATTTTTTTCAGAACGAAAGTTTGGAAGTTGAAGATGTTCAGTTCATAGTAACTTATGAGCAAAACTGAGCATGGACGGTCCGCAGTCTCTCAACTCAATATCGGGTTCCTCCAAGCGCGTGTGAAGAAACTGTAACGAAAATATTGAAGATAAAACAGAAAAAATACAGCGGATTCCTACGTGCACGGCAATGGAATCACATGTGGCGTGCTTTAGGGATAATTTGTTTTTATTACTGGCGAAAAATTCACGCGAAACATAAAAATAGAGTGTGTCACCACAGACATGATACTGACTGATATCCTATGTAGTTTCAAAGCGACCTGGGCATTCCGCCCCACTGAATAGCATCAACCGCTCAAACACGTCCTACAGTTTGTTAGACTACGACTTTACGCCTATCGCTGCGATAGAAAAAATATAAGCTACGTTCCTGTTACTAGACTGGGTTGTTTCCTGGCCATTGTCCTGACTCATTCCTGGCTATATCGCAAAGCATAGAAATCTCGAAAATGGTAAATGTCAACTGAAGGCACAAGGGGAAGCAAAATGCACCATTAAAAAAACGCATCATTGACACTTTCAACTGTGCCAACGTTATTTCAAGAGCTACCGCAAGATAACAGACACGCTAATGATGACGTGCAGTCTCGCCCAAACCTCAATCTATGCCGTCTGTAATGAGAATGAACATAGAGAAAGAAGAGGGATGGTTCATGTCATCTCTAATATCTATATAAGTACCGAATGGTCCTATTACACGTTCTTACCGAATATTACGGGGCAGCGGGGGAGTCGGAGGTTTTTTCCTTGTATATAACTTTCTCAATCCAGCTTAATAGAATCCTTAAGGACTAAGGATGTCGCAATGCGCTAACTTCCGTGGCACGGATGAAGCAGGTTCATAGCGTTAAAGTACTTCTGCAGGAAGTACGACAACACGGAGTCCGTAGCCGTTCCTTAAGAACGAAAAAAGACGATGCAAATGATGAAATTCGTAAGAGTCTTGAAGCAATTAATGCTACGTCGAGATTGCCCTCTAGGTATGTCTTAACTTCTAGAGGTAAGGTGACCATGCACTTTTGGACAGTGTCAATAATGAGGTCACATTTACTGTAATTCGTATCGAAAATAGCTCCAAACCCCAATTAAGTGAAGATCTACGATTGGACTACTGTTTCAAGAACATAGGCAATATCTACAAATGTTTTATATTTGCCCTGTGCCGAAAGCTTGGTCACGAAAGATATCAGAACGCTAAAAAGCAGTCTCCATCCATAGTGTGCTTAATTTCCAGTTAACTAAAAGGACCTCTGATACATCTAGTTTCAGGTTAATTTAAACGCTGTCGGTTAGACGTACGATATTGCTGCCAAAGTAGTCGAGAAAGTTGATAAATCGGATACCTGCATGTTTTGACTATTCGAATAGGCGGCTGGACATGTCAAAACGGGCAGTTGGCCAGCCTGAATAGATCACAACATGAAACGTATAAGTTGGTCTAACATGTCGTCCAATAAAACAAGGCCACATCGTGCGACTAGTCAAAATTGACCTGTCTCGGTTCTAAAACGCTTAGGTCAGATTCGCCTTTCGGATTATGGGATACATAAGGACGCTGCTGGCCTAATCCAGGGTGCGACTTGGACGACTGGCTTTGTTTACGCTTGTCCTGTTGCATGTAGCAACCGAACATTACCAAGTCATCTCTTCGCTTAATCGCATAATTTCTTACCGACATCCCAACGCAAAACATCACACAACAGATGTTGGCTAGCGCGTTACTTGAATGCTCTATTGGCCACAGTGAGAAACCATTATTACGGTCGCAATCTATGCCAACTTAGAAGGCACCCCGCTGCGAATATGGACGAGGCGAACGCTACTGAAGATGAAAATTCTGAATAAAAGAATGGTATTGAAGAACATGGCCGAAGCATGTCTTCGTATTTTTGAAGACTATTCGAAATTCATTCTCAGATAATTGATCATCTTCTTATATGGATTTTCTCAAGAAAACCGTTGAAGACAACAAATCAAGTGGACGATGATAATCAGCTTCATTTGTAATGCCACTTTCCATGATGAGATGATCTTCGTAATTATATTGTAAAGTGACTTCGTTAGATCAGCTAGAAAATTTTTCACGTGCCCTATTATATTGGTTATTTTTAATGGAGCGCCAAAAGTCATCATTGCTTTATTGTTTGCATACTGTTTCATTCAAAATCCGCTGGTATCATAGAATCGAGCGTGTTACAGAAGTAGTCAACTGGCCCATTAGTGTTTGTGACCTTGTAATCAATACAGACGTAAGCCAGATATTTAGCCGTACGAGATGATCTGCAAGACCATTGTAATAAACGCCGTTAATTACGTGACAGTGGTGTGACCTTTCGTATGTTATCTGCAACTAGTTGTAGAGTGATCGCGGGAGATGTCGGAAGTTGTGCGTACGGCACGTCGCCTGTACTTTCCGAGGCCGGGCAAATTATCCGACCCAGCTTTTGTAGTGCTCCTTCTATCTGATCCAACGCTTTTGGAGTTTGTTCAGCGTTGCAGGGTCGTTCCTTTTTTATTCGGCGGGAAATTACAATTTTTATTGCAGTGCACAGAATACACTGACATGCCGTAACTTGGATTGGTGAAGCGGTTCCATGTGTAACGGTAATCATGTGTACAGACTGCACGCTAAATTGAGAGTAAGATAATTGACAGAACAAAAAACATAATGTGTGTTTGTTTTATTGATGCATTATGTAGCTCGCTTCCAAAGCTTCTGCTGAAGCTGTGCTCAGATATAGTTGTGTCTGCTTGACGGACTCAAATCTAGTGCAGTTGTGTTCTACCAGGGAGCCTGATCCAGGTAGCCGGTGTCGCAAAAGCCTGAATGGCTCTACTAAACCTACGGTGACATGGCCTCTTGAAATGATCTTATGAAATGCACAGTAGACAGACCTAAGCCCGAACAACAGGCTTTTTTTTTTTGAGTGCGCAAGTACGACCCTTCTTCATTTAGAGGAGAGGGGCAAAACGGATATCAGCGTGTTAGACTCCTAATTTTAATCGCCACCATCGTTGGTGTTGTCGTCCCAGCCTATTAGACATGCCACGGCAGTTGCCGTTGGCCTTGGCAGACGAAGGCATCAACGAATGAAAGGCAGACGACACCGTTATGAAGAGAGTTAGAGCCAATATATGCGTGTGAAAAACATGCGGACATCGGAGTATGTCCGTCAAATATAATGATGATCGGCTCTGTTAATATATTGCAAATTTATATACAAGTAAATACATCTACAGTGTACCTTTTTTTTTAATATCGTTTTCTATTAACAAAAGCTGCCACCTTAGGCCATACGAGTAAGAATATAGCGTGCTCGGTTGTCCGTGATAGAACACATGTGTATAGACAACTGGCAAGCAACAGAATTACCTTTTCGCTTCGGTATCATACCGTTTCCACCGCAAAATGGTAGGCTCAAGTTAGAAATATCGGCAGTTCAGGCCGAAGCTAAGAACAGTTCGATCATTTTGGTTTTCAGTAATCATTACGAAAGCACTGTACCAAACGGCCCTTGTAGTCGTGATAATTATCTGCAAAAAGTAAATTTTTTGGGAGGATAGGTAGATGGACGTAAATGGAAACAAAGGACAGATTCGATAACTTGAAACCTTTAGCTAGCTTGACCTCCTTAAATGGCCATAACGTTACCATAAAGGCTAAACCATGGTTACTCGTTCGTCGCTTTAAATTTATCTCTCTGAACTCGCCATCAGAACTACAATTTAAACCGGGACTCGAATTGTTCTGCTCATTTACATATCCGGAGCCCCGGCAGTACACAGGGCTTCGCAATGGTGTTTGGGAATGGATCCCCAGTTCTCGCTGCATGCCTACAGAGGCTCTTGACTGCGGGTACTCAAGAGCTGTCTGCCTGTTCCACGAAACGATCGAAAATGTTCTGAGCTATTGGTCTTTTAAATGACTGTAAAACCATTTGTAAATTATTTCGCATTGCTTAGTAATGTCGTTTGTGTTGTTGACTAACGACATAGGTTATTGCGGATTAACATCCACATGCACGTTGCGTGATGCCGTGCGCGACTTCAATGAAAGAAGGCACCGAAAATATGCTCAACGGACTCGTGGTATTATGGTAAATGACCGCCCTTAAAAATTTCCATATTCAGCGACGCACAGGTTTACCCTCGAGAAGCAAAACCGTTAAAACTCTGCTGTATGGCCGTGTTTCAACTTCAAGAGAATATGAGACACACTTATGAAAGCGGAGATGATTTTTTATTATCTAATCTCATGTGGTCACATAAAATAGCCTACCGCGCTCGTCTACTGAAGCCTCAAAAATAAACCATTAACGGCCAGACAAGTCTTCAGGAGCTGCCAAAAGGTTCCTTTGTTTAGACTAATCTAAATAGGGCCACTGTATTCAAACAGGCGATGATGTGAGTACGATTAGACGCGCTTCTGTGTGTGATTTGCTATCTCGCTTTGAATGTTTTTATTGA